TCAGTGCGATGATCTCGGTCGGCATGTTGTCGAAGGGGGGGCGATGCGGGGAGGCGACTGCCATGGCGGCGTCGTGATGAGAATTGTAGAGACTCCGAGCCTCTTGCGAGGACCGAAGACCGACGGCCAGCTGTAATTGTTTGTCTAGGTCCTTTTTGGTGGGTATTTTGCCGGAAATCCCTTGTTGAACATCACGCTTATCCTTCGTAAATTCGCCATGTTTGTTACAAAAATTGCTGGCCTGTCCTTGCGCCGCCTGCTTTGCGCCGCCCTACTATAAGGTATTGTGCCGCCTGGGGCTAAGCAAAGGTTGTTCGGACGAGGAATATGGCCGGGTGCGAGGAAAGGGATCTGGGGATTGAGAAGCATTGTTACCATCGCAAGTATGTTTCTTAACCACCGCTAGTTGTTGACCAGACAGCTGCTACAGCCGTAGGGCGCAGTAACAATCCTGGACTGGCGGCTGCCCGGCAGCTGTGTGATCAACAACTAGCAGTGGTTCTCTGCTTTCTACTGTTGAAAGCGACAGTGAGGTCTCTCAGTGCAAGCAAAGTGAGGTTCGTGATGATATTCTTGGGGGTTAACTTCGTCTTTTTGGTTCAACTTGGTTCAATAGGTAACAGGAGGAAGCCACGTCAGCAACGGTATTTCCAACATCTACACGTGTATTCGTACCGCGGTGCTCCGATATGGGGCGCCAGTGCTAACGTTACAGCACATGACTTTCCAGCAAGTGCCATAGAGCCTCAGGGAGGTGAGGGACACCCGGCCGGGTTATCTTATGTACTTGCTGCTTTTATCTTTGTCGAGAGCGGGGAGCTCAGTCGCAGTTCAGCAAGGCCCCAAGCAAACTGACGTGAACGGGGACGCTCGCGGGGCGAGATTGACAGCGGATGCTCGACCTCCTGCAATCACTCCGGGGCCGGATCGCCGACGAAGACCTCCCGGCTCCCCTCTTCGTGCTCGGGGACTTGCAAGCCCTCAATACTGTGGATGGGACTTCGGAGACATAGGTATGTTTTTGAAGCATTCCATTGACATTCGAGTTACTGCCACTAGTCCGGCAGCTCGCCTCAGGGTCCGTTCTCACAGAGTCACAGATAAAGCAATTACATACGGGGATCCATTGAACTCACCAATTTGCACTATAATTGATGCTAGATTTGTTGGTTGTTGCGACGGTAATGGCAAATGCTCGCATTATACCACTTGTTATCCCAGCGCTGTCCTCGACGCAATGGGATCTAGTGACTCTCGTGCTCTGACTTGGTATGTGTTGTCACTCGTCTCCCAGAGCCTGCAGATTGAAGTACTTTCTAATATTTGCCCGCTGACTGGACTAGAACAGTACCGACGTGGTCTCGGTACAAACATCAGAGTGGACCTCGACCATGGATTCCTTCGAGTCGACGTTTTCTTATTTCTATACGACGTTTACCCTGGACAAAACCGTGACTGCTGGGGAATGCGTCGAGTATATCTGGGACCTAAACTCGGCAACATCATGGAGTTGTGCACCGTCTTGGAATATTCACTACGTCATGACTTCCGTCTAGTTCAGGGGCTATCGGTGTCACTCCCAGCTCGCTCAGTAGATGGCACACCACTCCCGTTCCTAGATCCACCTGGCGGAGATCTGAACAGCAATTCAACAACCTACGTTATCATTTGGACTATACTCGGCGTTGTTGTGATGGTTACAATATATGGCTTCGCTTGGTGGATATACTAGAGGTGGAACAGGGGTTGTTCCCACAAGACGTCCAACGAACCGGGCCATGAGAATACTTCTGCCTCGGTTCTACAACCATCTCCCGCCGGGACAAGTCGGGATCCCATTCCAGACCAGGCGCGTCCGATCCATGGGGACATCAGCCAAGTACAAAACCAACCAAGCGGTACCCAGTCGACATCCGCCCACACAGCACCTTCTATCGAGGACTTTTCGCCTGAAGGGCTGCGAAGCAGGCAGCCTCATGACAAGAAAATGGCGAGGGTAACTCTGTATCACTTGATGCCGTCTCCTTTACCGCCGCAAGCTCAACCAGTAGCTCCGCTTTTTTCACGTTGACCACCGCTTATACTTCGGGATATCTGGGATGCATCTTAGAAAATATATTTCACTGCCTGTAACTTGAATGACTACCTAGATGGCTGCTGTAGGAACTAATGCATAGAAACAACATAATACTAAGATGACGATCGCTTTGCCCTCTTGAGCACTCTGAGTCCAGCAAGGAGATCCTCAACGTCGTATCCTTGTACCCGTAAACTCGCCAACTCCTCCTCTAGCGACCTCATCTCGTTAGCAAATCTCGTTACAGATACATTACTTAGACGAAAACTCGGGCTTTCCAGCTCAGTTCCCATGATGTCCAAAGCAATGTATGTCATCCGTGCCCTGCAGAAATCCACCCGTTGATTACCGACGTGGTCCAAACTTTGCCCAGCGTAGTCCCGCGCTATCGTGAGGTACGTTCTCGCCTTTTCCCATGATGAACAGGCTGCCGCCATATTGCAGAGGTTCAAGCAGCACCACGCCAATTGGTCATACACAACAAAAAGCTAACCGGGATGGCAACTCGCAACGCCCGGTTGTTCTAGCAAAGTATGAGCACAGCGATAGTAGTCGATAGCCTCCCGAAAGTTGCGATCCCAGAAATGTTTGTCTACTTGTTTCATTTAGTCTACTGTTGATCTCCGGCTTCGGGTTAGCTTAACCAGGTAATTTATACACGTATGTATTTAAAAGGACTATCAACTTACATAGACCTTGACCTGACCCTGGACTTTATGCCGCTTGGCTTGTACTTTGCACTTGGCCATCCCATAACCTTAGAGCGTTGTAGGGGCTGGGTGAAGCGAGATACAATCCGAAACTTGATAAGGAACGGGAAAAGCTGGGGGTTCTAATAAAGAGTCGGGGCCTCGGTTTGGGGTTGAACAGCAGGGAAGTCGAAGTTTCGAGGTTGTGACGGAGGAAGGGTATTGGAAGCTAGGGGCATAAGAGGGTATTGTAAACCAAGACTGGGATCTGGCGAAGCTGGCGGTCTATACATTGAAGATGCTGATGGTACGGGAGATGGACCTAAAGATAGCGCAGGAGAAGGTCTACGGGAACGTATCGGGCTGCGTCCATCATAGTGACTCGACGATGCCATGGGCATAGAAAGCTCTATACTGGTCGTGGCGGTCCCGGCGGCCAGGAGCGTTCGGTTTATCTTCATCTTCAGCTGCCCCAGAACCAGCGTGAATTTAGGGTCAGTCGGTGAGTCGAACTTGTAGAGGAGGTGATGATTAGCTGCGAGCGGTAAGGCAATTTCATGGTTAAGAATCATCGTTGCAGAATGCTCGTTAACAATCTAGATCGAACAGTTAGATCATCATATGGGATAGTGACTGCAGGTTTTTCTAGATTTGTAGAGGAGGAAGGGGAAAAGGTGACAAGGGCTCATTGTTACCAGCTGCTTTAAGATTAGGTGGTGTTGGTTCTCATAGAACGACAGGATGAACTTGAGGTCTGCGGCCTGCTCCACAAACCGTTTGCAGAGTCTGTCCAATTCAGGTGAGTGGTCTGCAAGCAGCGCGACATTCGACCTCAGCTTCTTAGCAATCCCAGGAACCCTGACAAGGAGATTGAGTGCTGTGGCCACAGGCGAACCCAGATGCGGCGTCCCCATGAACACTACTCCCTTAGGGGCATCGAGGAGAAACTCATAGTGGCTGCGTCGGTCGCTTGCCTCCAGGAGCGCCTGCTTGAGAACAATGCCCCCAAGGCGATGGCAGATGAAGACCATTGGGCGGTTTGAAGGCTTTGATTGAGCAAAGGACGTCAGAATGCATGGGAAACAATAAGGTATCTCCACAGCACTAAGGACTATTCCGTGGACGAGAATTTGAACTTACAAGACCATCACGTTCGATCTGTAGACGGCCGAGGAGATCCTTTGCGGCATCCTCGATGGTCGCAACCGAATTGCTGAGCCACGCCTTCCCGGCATCATATCCGTACGTGAATATTCGGGCTCGAGGGAAACTGTCCTTGAGGAAGTCCCCAGTCCACAATGCACCGTTGCCTGACGGGCTGGTCCAGCTTCCAAACTTATCGCCCCCCAGGCCGTGAATCGCAATGATGCTAAACCAAAACGTTAGTCGCACAAACCCTATGGGAGATGTAGTAACCAGGAAGATGATAACACAGACTCCAACACAGTATCTGCAGTTCTGACATTCGGCGGATGATATAGTTGGAACAAATCGGGTTCGGAAGACATGCTCGGCGCTTTTCAGCACGTTGCAACGATCATAACAGCGACGGAAATGGTGTAGGAGAAAACTTGCCGGCAGGGAAAACTACGACATTTCAGGGGTAACATGTGCATCGCCCTCTCGACTCCGATATCATGCATAGCTCAGCTCTCAGCGTCCTTTCCTCATAAGACAGAGTTTCATCTCCGATGCAGAGTGAGCATTGCTTACTGTCCATGAGCAGTGGAACGGGGTCAGGCCAGGGAGACTCCTCCTTCACTGCAACATCGGTCCATGCCCTCTGCCGGATGCGGTCCCTCTTTTCCCGGTAGCGCAGTATCTCAAAACTCTTCAGCAAAGATAATGGCGCAACAGAGAGGGAGATGATCATTTACCTCTTCCATTTTCTCAGCAAACTGGCGATGTCAATCTTGGTCTTGTCGGCATAGTCGGGAGTAAGGAACTTAGTGTCCTCAAGTTGCTTGCGGAGAGCTGCACGCTGCTCGGCCGTATAAGCTGTTGGCCGTTTCGCAATTCGCTTCTCAGCTTCTTGTTGGGTCAAGCGCCGCACGAAATGCGCATTGTAATGCCGGTCTTCGGTCAGAGGCAACTAATGTGCATGGCGCTAACTCAGCCTCGTACAGCTGACCTCGATTTTTCCCGTCGCTACTGCCCCTTCTCCATTTTTCCCGTCGCTGCTACCGTGACCCTCGATGGTTATGTTCGTAGGTTCAGATTGTGGTCGGGTGAGCCGTATTGGGTTCAGGGGAATGTGAAACACGGTGTGCATCCTAATAACTCCTTTTCACTCACAGAATAGCCCGCTGTGTGAACTTTGTTCACACCTGTAGGCTTAACTGGATGCAGGACTCAGTCAGCCTTAGGGTGGAACATTGCTGCCTGCCAGCCTGCGTTCATGGACGAGCATATAACATCGCAGCAGAGCCGGAACACGCCATCAGGAGGGACAAATTATTGAACTCTCTCCAACTGAGGCAGAATATCTGGAACCCGTCTCTCACTAGATACTCTCAAGGTTGCCCAGTCTTTCAGCACCTGCGATATGTGATTATCTGCTAATAACTTCTAGATGACTACCCGAGCACCTGTGGAACTCGTGAATCGGTGCGACTTCTCTTCGGTCGATAATGGCACGCCGCGCAAGACAGTCGATTGTCAATCGAACGGATTGTGAATACTCGGTCGACTATATACCACCCAAAGAGTGAAAAGGATTGAAAAGGAAGACGGCTGGAACGGATGGCGGGTAGGAGACAGGACATTTCTTTGGAGTATACAGCTGGACACAACTGTAATGGCTTGGCGAGGGCTCCACACTCTTCGGGCAGGCAATTGACTACTTCTACGCTTATTATGAATGTTATATGCTGTGACGGCGCAGTCTGACGGAACCGCTGCGAGCCAATATGGCGGGCACTGCCAGCACTTTGCGCCACTGCTTGTCACTTGACCCACAGACCTGAGGACGCGGCTGGCGCGCTCCTGTCGCGGAGGAATGGTTGACTACTAAGGAGGAAGGTACAGACGGGAAGCGTTTGACCGCGTAGTGGCTCACCGAGTCTGCGAGCATCTCTCTGCAGCACATTGCTTGGGCCTATCCCTGAGAGTTGTGCCGCGCCGTGATACATACCATGGGTATATACGGGAACCTTGCTATATTCTATACTGTATATGAATACAGAGGTACTGTAGATCCACCTGGTAGACGTTGACTCTACAGTTATTACGGGAGTGATGGGATGGTCAACCTTGTGGAAGTGTACGCGGAGGAGCGCAACAGTCAGGCCCACAGCTGCAGAGGTTATCTCCCTGGAGCCGTAGGCACGACTAGCCCTAACCCTTACCTAATCTATACAATGTCAAACGGTGTGCATAGTGACAATAGTTCGCCGGACGAATTCGCTAAGCAAAGCTTTTTTCCCTTTGCAACGTCATAACTCCACAATTTACTTCTCGGCCGCCGCCTACACAGCACAATCTCGCACCACTCCGTCCATTATAAATATGGAGATTATTCAATCCAAAGAGGCCTTTAGGGTTGTCGGCAACAAACTCGAGTTTGACTGTGTGAAAGGGGTTGTGCGATACAAATCCAGCGTGTACTTCGGCAAGTGGCAGGATCGATGGCATCCACCACTCAGTCTCTCCGAGTTATACGATGTCAAACTAGTGGAGACCGATGTTAGAGGACCCGAAGTGCAGCCTTCTTGGACAGTGGCGTCGAAGCAGAGTTGCTATATCAAGACACCAAGCCTTTTCGACTATGCCTGTGCGCCGGACCTCGAGAGACGGATCCTCCATGAAGTCATGACGTGCGAAATCCTTAGGAAGCATCCTCATCCAAATGTCGCCTCCTACCGTGGCTGTCTAGAAACTGGGGGACGAGTATCCGGCCTCTGCTTCAAAAAGTACGTCTCGACATTGGCTGACAAAGTCAACCCTCAGCATTTGAACAAATCCGCCTTCCTGCTTAGCGGACGGCCGCTTGTCGAGGATGCGATGAAGGCGCAGCTGGACGGCGTATTGGGTGGTATTCAACACCTCCATTCACTCGGTCTGGTCCATAACGACATTACGCCTGCCAACATTATGCTGGAGGAAGACGGGACATGGGTCATCATCGACTTCGACAGTTGCCGGTATGTGGGGGAAGTGCTTCGTGATACGGGGACCAAGAGAACATATGGATGGCATGACCCTGACGTGACGGTTTCATCCGAGAAGAACGACCTCGACGCCTTTTTCGAGTTGCGAACCTGGCTCTTTGGATCATCGGCCGATGAATTCTTATTCCGGTAATTCGCAGTGCTTGTCAGCTGATGTAAGTCTTCACCGCGGTATGTCCTGGCAGGCAGTCATTAACGTCAATCGCGCCACTGGCAGCAACCAGATCAGACGTGGGGATACTAGACACCTGCACGAACGCCTGCACGAACGCCCTGGGCATTCAGGTCTGCACAACGGTGCAGGAAACACTAACCCTTGATGTAGGATGGAGGCATCGTGGGAGCCGAGCCGGCGCAAGCGTGCGGGTGCGGCGCTTATGCGGGGTGCCTCTCACCGGCGATAAGCCGTTGTAGGGCTGTTTGGAGGGAGCTGTGGTTGCCCACTGCAGGATCGCCGAACAGGATGGACACCGGTAGGAACATGATGAACTTTTATATGTACAAATGTCTGCACTGTTCTAGGAAACTGACGTGATGGATTATATCGCGGTGCAAGAATCGAATCCTTAAGCATTGAGTAGCTTGCAAAACTCTAGCCAGGCACCAGACATCTAGCAAATATTGACCCCAGTGCCGCAACGTCAAGGGGCCGCAATGCCGGAAGAGCCAGGTGTCGACTTCTGAGAAATTCCGGTCGTAGCCAGCACGGATTACATCAAAGATGATCTGAGTGTGGTAAAGCTCAACAAATCTAGATGACTAACGTACTTTATCAGTGAGTGGCCCATATCAGTGAGTGGCCCATATCAGTGAGTGGCCCACTTTCAACGCGACGCGACACCTTTGCACTCAACAACAATTTCCTCCACAATCCAAAATGCCCTCTACTTCAAAAGAAGGCCAGATAATTATAGCCCTCCAGGCTCTTCAAA